AAATAAATTTATTTAACTAAAAATTTTATTTTTTCTCAAAAAATGTTAAATATTAAGCTTTTATCCATTTAAAAGTTCATATAAGTACATTTTTTTTTTAAATGGATGCACATGTTAATTGAAATAGTAACAATAGTGATTATAAATTAGAGATAGAGAGTAAGTCAAACTACACTTTTTAAGATTCAGAACAATTTCTTGGATTTTAACATAGCTGATGACAGATTTCCTTCAGGTTTACATGTTAGGTTGGTATATATAATTATTTTTAAATAATTTAAAATTCTGATTTTTAAACCTTAAAGTAGTTTTTTTTTTTTTTTGATACATTGTTAAATGAATAAAAACCGTAATAAAATTTTAAACAATACAGGTCTTAGAATTAAACTTTATTGATTATTTTTTAGGTTAAAAGAACAAAGATTGATTAAGAGAAAAGTTTGATGCGAACTGATTCAAGCTCATTTTTACTTTAACTATGAAGTTGGTAAAAAAAATAATTATTATTTAAAAACAAAAAATAAAAATTTTAAAATTCTGTGAGCAATTTTGATACAATTTTTTTCAAAATTCCAGAATCAATACCTTTTTCTGCATAAGGGTGTTTTAGTTATATATTAGGTAAGGTGTTATAAGTAAAATGTTATAATTAGATTTAAGGCATTGAAATTAGATCATAGTTGTTTATTGTTTCTAAAAAGGCTGAGATCTTAACATTTTTTAAATGATGATTTTATAGAGAATAACAAAAAAATATCTTTTTTTGAAAGTATTTCATACATTTGTTTCCTTAGCTCATTTTTTAAAAATATCTTCAGTCTTAACTGGTATTGAAAGTACTGGCACTGTTTTGAAAATGGCAAACTAAGATGATACTGCATGCGAAGATATTGTTGAAAATTTACAATTTTCCTTATTAAATATTTACAATTTACCTTGCTCTTTCTATTGAATCTTGTTTCAGTTTCAATATTGTAGTTTTATTTAGTAACATGGATAAATCTAATTTATGGATAATTGATCTGTGTTTGGGGATCCTTTGTTTACTACTTTTTTTTTACTTATTAACTTTTTTATTTTACTTATTATTATTATTTTTTTAACTTATTAAGTAAAGTAGGGGAAGACGAGGAACATTCGACCTTTTTAAATATTTCCCAGCTTGCTTAAAATTACCACCTAAAATTTTTAGGCATGTTTTGCCTGTTGTCATCAAGAATTTATAATCTAGATGAAACTGGTTGCACAACAGTCATGAAAACTGTAAAAGATGTATCAACGTATGGCAAGAAACAAGTTTCACAGGTAGCTTTGGTAGAAGATGGCCAATTAGTAACATTTGTTGGCATTATAAATGCAACTGGTCAGTTTCTCCCTCCGGTTTACAATTTTCCCAGAAGTCGTAATTTGAATAGTTTTATGATAGGAGGTCCAACATTTAGTATTGCTCTTGGTAATAAAAGCAGATGGATGACCTCAGAATTTTTCTATCTGTGCTTCAACACATAGTTACTCACACCAATTGTACCAATGAAAAACCAATACTACTAGACCAATATTATTAGACAACCAAGAATCTCATTGCTCACTGGAATCAATTCTTTTTTGTAAAGAGAACAGAGTATATTTACTAAGTTTTCCTCCCCATACTACTCATTGCATACAGCCTCTTGAAGTTGGCATTTTCTCACCATTCAAATCAAGTTGTGCAATTGCCTATAATGACTGTCTTGTATCAAATTCGGGAAAAACAATTACTTAAAAATGTATTCCGCAACTAACAAAACTTGCGTTTCTGGCCTCCTTTACACCCTGTAATATAATTAAATTGTTTGAAACAACAGGTTTGTGGCCTTTAAACTCATTGGCTTTTACCGAAAATAATTTCATGCCTAGTTATGTCACAGATAAAACCCTTATGGGAGAACCAATGGAAAATCTAGGGGCAATTGGTACACTATTACATAATAATTTACCACTCTTATCTACCCATGAAACGGATTCCTCTTGCAACTACTTGCTAACCCCAACAATCTCCCCAAAAAACTGACTCCAGAACAGGTGCGGCCCTTGCCTAAAGCTCATCAAAGACAAATCAAATTAAAAAGAAAGTCATCAATTTACACTGACACTCCTGAAAAGGAAAATATTGAAACACTACATTTGGAAAAATTATAAAAAAAGGAAAAGTTAACAATTTGAAAAAAAAAAACGCTTTCAAAGAAAACTACTTAATAAGACAGACCCAATTATTCAGGAAATTTCTCACCAAAAGAAAAGAATATTTAAAGATGATAGTCTCTCTGAAGACATAAGCGATAAAGATATAGCATTAAACAAGAATTCTTATGATAATTTACCTATGGTAACAGATGTTGTGCATAATAGTGATATACATATTGAAAGATTTCGTGTTAGTAAAATTTCAGACTAAAAGTAATATATTTTATTATATCGGCTAAGTAAAAGAAGTTTCTACTATGATCACAATAAATTTTTGAGAAGAAAAGGAAACAGTTTAAGGTTCATTTTCCCTGATTTTGATGATATTTTTTTAGTGGAAACATCAGAAATTGTTGCAATTTTAAAATCTGTAACTCCTGCGTAGACCAAAAGAACAATATTGTTACTTTATTTCGATATAATTTTTCAAATTTAATTGTAAAATAGCTATAACTATTTGTTTTTACATTATTTGTGGAAAGTTTTTATTTGTACAATAAAACATTTAAAATAAAGAAAGCTTATAAATTTATTATTTTGTTTATAATGATATGGTTGAATGTACCCCTCTAGGTGGTCGAAACTACCCCAGCAGTGGGGTACATTCGACCACTTTAAGGCTTACTTTTAAAACAGTGGTAGATTTAACAAAAATCAATATTTTATATACATTCTCTTTCTAATTTGTTTGTTTATGTCCATTATTTGTAATGCTAAAAAAAATTAATCTTTCTAGCAAAAAATCATCTGTAAATTAATAAAAACTTGCCAAGTGGTCAAATGTTCCCCGTCTTCCCCTAAACTTAAACTGCACTCATGTTAATACCATGAACTTTTTCAAGATTTTTAAGAGATTGCAACAAACTCATATTCATATGTTTTGTTTAATTTATTTGTTATTTTTAATAAATTTTGTAATAAATTAAAAAAACTTAATATTAATACATAATTATAATATAATTATATTAAAATAAAAAAAAAAAAATTTAAATAGAATCAAATATTAGGGGGTTGGATTTTTTGGGAAATAAATAAGTGGTAATAAAATAAGTAGACTATATGCTTTCAAAACAAATTGACATCAAATTAATATTTTTAGGGCATTTGTTGTTTTTTCTTTGCCATGACCAATCAAGAAGTTGTTTATTATTTATTGAGTTATTTAATTTTATTTAACATTGGCGTTTCTTACTCCAACATTTTTAAACTTTCTTACTCAAACATTTTTAAACTTTCTTACTCAAACATTTTTGAACTTTTTACTTTTAGTTTTCAAAAGTTACCGTAAAAATTTAGTATTTAAACTAATAAAATAACAAGCTTTACAGTAAAACATGTCTTATGCTTTAAATAAATTTAAAGTCCTATACATGTCATACTGCCTTGTAAGACTTGCTTTTCAGGCAATGGCATAAAAAGCTAAATCTGACACAAAATATTCACAGCTTTGGGGTTTTTGGTTGAGTACAGGCTAATGATAGTATCTAAATAAAAATACTTACCCTAAATGGATGGTAGTTCATCTAGCTACTGAATTGTGGAAGGTCCTAGACAAAAATTTAGGGGTGATCTGAAAATTTCTGCTGATCAATCTTGTTCCTTTTCTTTATTTAACAGGATGGGGTAAATGTATACTTGTGTTACATTGTTTTGTGTCTAGTATGATGAATGCTTCTTGACTCTACTCATGAGTGAGTGTACTCATGCTCTCTTTTGTAGAGACTATTCAATCCTTTCTGTTATCTTCTATTGAAGTTACAGCCCTAAAATGAGTGTAATAGTTCTGAGGCTGGCTGATAATAAGGTTTCTTGAACTCTGTGATAACTATTAGAGAGGACGATTTCATTAAAAGTTGTAAAATATGTTGCTTATGAATGGTGAGTTCATCATCTTTATAACTTTATTTTTTTATTTTTTTATTTACATATACATATAAACAAATAGTTTAATTGTTAAATAGTTGCTTTATTTCCCATAGAAAATTAAATCTTGTTGGATTATCTTTCACTACTGAGCTAGAAACCTCAGTATAGCGTGCTTATCATATTTTTACTCTTGGATCCATTCTCTTTTTTTTAGTCTCTTACATGTACTCATATAGAATACTGCTGTTATATTTAGGCTGGTACTTCTAATAAGGCCCTCTCTCTCAAAAAATGTATTGTAAGTGTTTTATTCATCATTTTTATTTGCTCATCAATGTTTTCTCTTCTGACTTCTATCAATTTTTTTATGTTTTCTATCAACCACTCTTTTACTTTTTTAATTTTAATTTTTAATTTTAATTTTTTTATGTTTTCTACCAACCATTTTTTTACTTTTTTTCGCTATTCTTTGCTTTGTGTTTTTAAACTCTCAATTTAAATAATTGTTAATTTAGATAATAATAAGCAGCTTGTTTAGACACACGAGGGGGGTGTGTGTGATAGTTTTGTTTTATTATCAATAAAAATTATTAAAAAAAAACAAAAAGCTTGTCTAAAAGTTTTTAATATTTTAAGTTAAATTTCATAAGCAAAGCATCAGCTGTTGTAGATTGGGGGTAGAGTAATATAGCCCTTACTTTTTTACTTTGAGCACTAAATGTGGATTTAAATTTATCAATATCTTATCAATTGAAATTTGTGTTGATTATTTTTTTATTCTGTATCCTCAAAAAAGTATTGCTGTTTTTAGTTTTTGATTTAAAATTATTAAAAATTTAATTTCTAAATTGTTTTTAATCTTAGTTATTTATATTTTTTGGTTTATCAAACTTTAAAATTTATTTTTATAGATTAGCTCGGTATACTCTAATGTAACAAATGCAACTGACTCTACAGTCAATATTGTTAGCTACAGGTAAAGATTTTTTGTTTTTTGTCACAGCAACAGTGACAAAAATTTTTACTGATGATGATATAGAAAAGGATATGGATAGATAGGCTTCAGTCTGTATTTTGACTGAAGCTTCAGTCTGTATTTTGTCTGAAGCCAATTAATCTACATGTAAGAAACTTATTATGACAAAAACTTTTAACCTCGTTATTATTACTCTTTTTTTTTCTGAAGTTTTTTTTCTGAAGTTTTTTTTCTGAAGTATTAGTTAAAAAAGTATTTTTACTGAAAGTAAAACAAAATAAATAATATAATAAAAATAAAGTATAAGTATTTATAAGAAAATAAGATTCATGTAAATTTATTTATATAAGGTAACATATAGAGTTGTCAAGTAATGAATCTTAAACAGTCACTTTCTGCAATTCAATAAATTTAAATATCAAGTGCATATCTCAAACATCGCTGATTACATATTTTGATTACATCGCTGATTACATATATTGATTACTTACTTCAGCTTTACTGGTTGAATAACTCCAGCATGACTGGTTTCATACCTCTAGCATTACTGATTGCATATCTCCAGCATCATTGATTGCCATGAATCAATCTGCAATGCTGGAGGTATGCATCTCCAGCATCATTGATTGATCTTGCTTAATTGCTACTAATAAGATGTTTGTCTAGAAAATGATAGTAAGCAACATAAAAATGATCGTCTTTTGCATATTTACAATGAAAAAAAGTAAGAAATGATTAATAAGCACAAGACTATTCTGAACTCAGCTAAAAGATTTTAAAATGATTTGTTTAACAAAATCAATCATTTAGGATTATCACAATTAATACCTTATTATATTTTTGTAAAGAACACAAACAATCATATATTAGCAAAATTAATAGTAATTAATAATGAAAATATTAAAAGAAGTGCAATGTAATATATAATTAACATTTCGTGTACTTTTAGATATCAAATTTTGATCGTTTGTCTTTTTTTTCCTAAAATTTTATATTTTAGAATGGGAAGTTTAATTGTTGATTACTTTGTTTCTTTAAAAAACCCAAACTGTGGAGACTCTACAAGTTCTGTTTGTGCAGATGGAATCATGAATAGAGTTATAAATGTTACTAAAGAATCAATTATAACAAGTGGTAGTCTATCTGGTTCATTAAAGCGAGATCCAGTATTTAAATGTAGGTCAAAGTAAACATTTGTTGAGTTAAATGTTTACTATAAAAAAGCTTTTTTTATTTTCTACTATTATTTAATAACAATGAGGAAACCGCTTTCTTTTTTCTATTTAATTAGAAATGGTCTTTATTTACCTAGTTAAAGAGAATAGTAGAGTTTCCTTTTCATCTACGTAGTTAAAGAGAAGGATTTTCTCTTCATCTAGGTAGTTAAAGAAGTTTTTTTTATCTGTGTAGTTATAAAAATATTTTTTATCTTTATAATTAAAAAAAATAGCTTGTCTCTTCATATAGTTTAGAGTTAAAAACAATAATTTTTAAAAATGCCAATAAATGCTATCTAAATGTTTTTATAATAAAATAATATTTATATATGAATAATTAGGATAAAATTATTATATTAGATTTTAATGCATAAAAAGTGATATTTTTTTTAACTATAATTTTTTTTTCAATAAGTTTTTTATAATGTTATTATCATTTTTGAAGTTTTCATTTAATTTTGCTTCATTTAATACCCAGTAAAATACAGTTACAGGTTGTTTTTTTGAGGAACTTTTTAAATGTTTAAAGGACTTGGGTCCTAATAATGTTTTTTATTAAAAAAAATTTTAAATCCAGTGTTATTTTAATATAAAGAACACATTTAGGTATTTAGTGTATAGATAGTTTAAAAAATTGTTGTTTTTTTAGGACACCCTTATATAGCTCACATCCTTATATAGTCCACACCCTAGAGGAGATTGGTTTAAGTCAATAATATCTCTTGGGTATGAGTGATATATAGTTCATATAGTGAACTCTCTACATATTTTATGCCTTTTTTTCAAAATAATGTTTTTTTTTTTATATACAAATTTAATTTCGTTTAAATTATGTTATTTGTAATGAAAATTTAATTTTTTTAACAATATTTATTATGAAAATTTAATGTTTTTATTTAAAAAAAAGTAAGATTTGCAATTTTTAATTCATTTCGAATACATTATAATTTTGTTTTATTTAGTTATTTGATATACAATGTTTTTTTATTTTTATTATTTCAAATGTATTGTTTTGGAAAACATTTTGATACTATTTGCAAAAATGTTGTAAATTTATGGGCATATTTTCAGGTATTTGATTAAAATTATCTGTAGGGGAGACCGGGGCTAGTTGACTCGGTTTTTACTCTATGAGTTCTGTAGTCCTAACGAAACATTTTTTTGAAAACATAAAAGTGTAGTTTCAAAGAGTATGAATTTGTGTAACTTATAAAAGTTGTATTCATTTACAAAAAAAATATTGTGGGGCCTTTCTGGGCCCTCAAAAAAAAAAAAAAATTGCGCCAACTTACCCCACCATGGGGTAAGTTGCTTATACTCAAGGGGTAAGTTGACTCGCAATAGTAAAAGCTAAAGTTAAAGGTCCTATTAAAGTGTATTTCAATAATATTTTTACCCCGAGCCCCTTTTTTTTAAAGGAATCATAGCAGAAATATACTTTTATCAATATCATCAAACTTTTGGATCAAGTCATTGTAACATTTTAAGCAATAGAAAGTAAATATAATTAAAAAATACAGTGACAAAACAAAACAGTGTTCCCAATTTATGGTTATACAATAAGAATTAAAACTTATATTGTTTTATTACATGAATATTTTTAACTAATGGAGTTTCAAATTGGCTAGCAGCAATTATTGCAAATGAAAAACAAAGATTTTCTGATTATACATGACTCGTGAGCCCAAAGGTGACATTGGGTGCATTGAACCCAAACTTCCCCTGCTTTACTTTTAGAAAACATTCCAACACAAACCAAACAAAAACACTCCTCTACAACAGAGCTATTTGGACAATTCAAACTTTTCTCCATTAAGTGTAAACTTCCTTTACTATTTGATCTTTTACTCATCTTAATATTATCTTCGTTTAACTTTTTTGCTTGTTTTCTCTCTTCAATTGCTAACTTTTTCTTTTTAGCTGATTCTTTCTCTATTTTTAAAACATTCATATTTGGTGAATCTGTTAAAATTGATGTGGTTCTACTTCTTTTATTAGCCCTAACTCTTTTTCTTGGTTCAGCTTTTTTGAATGGTCTTAAATCTTCAGGCGATAGAACTACAGTTGACTCTGTAGATGCACTGTGTTCATCATTACTGCTTGAATATGAAATATCTTGACGTGGTTTTATATCTTTTGAGCAACCAGCATTTAACATGTCATTCTCAGATATTGTAAAGTCAACATCCATTACATTACTTATATTTAGCACTGTACTTTCCACAGCACAGTCTTGTTTCGGAGGTGGTCTATCTGTGGTATAGGCTGGCATAAAATCGTGTTCACCAAAAATGTTAACATTTAGTGGGTAAATTCCTGTTTTTGCAAAACCAGCCTTGATATTATTAGGGGTACATGCTAATGGAAATGAGTTACCCACAATACCTGGTAAACTGTAAATAGACATTGTGGAACCAGGGTGCATTGTCATCCACGCATCGCAAGCTGTGTTTGTGTATTTTTTAAAAGGTCCAAATACACTTCGATCTAGAGGTTGAAGTTTATGGCTGCAATGAGGAGGAAATGAACAAACCGATACCCCATTTTCTTTAAAGTAATCTAAAGCCTCTACTGAAAGATGAGAGTCATGATTGTCTAATAGCAACAAAACAGGTCGTTCTTTTGTACTTCTGGCATATTTGACAAAATGATGGGAAAACTGCAAAAATTGAACTTCAGTCATCCAACCAGATGGGTTTGCAGCGCCTGCACTTCCATCAGGAGCACCATTTAAAAAATAGCTTTTAAATTTCACACGAGGAAATATGAAAAATGGAGGAATTGAATTTCCACTGGCAGAAACAGCAGCTGCCACAGTTACTAAATTGCCTCTCTCAGCCGAAGTAACACGCCCAATTTGTTTAAAACCCTTTCTTGCTACAATATGATCTGGAGTTTGAACTGTGGTAATACCAGTTTCATCCATATTCCAAATATCTCCATTTTCCAACTTTAAACGATTAAGAATAGTTTGTAAATTGTTGTAAAATTTTTGAACATTTGTTGGATTAAAACTGGAAACACGTGCTTGACTTGTTGCCTCAGGTTTTCTTATTGACAGTTTTTTGTGCCTTTTGAGGTAAGCACTGAACCAGTCTTCTCCAGCTGCTTCATTTGCACTCCAATTATGAGGCATTTTTATGCTATTCGCTTTTCCATACTGATAAGCTAGTTTCCTCACTTCCTTAGGAGAAAGTCCATAATAAATATCAGAAGCTTTAGTCACATATTGTTCCAACAGACCTTCTTGTAAATCAGTAAAGACCTAAATGAACAATATCAATATTAAAACAAATAACACTATATATATATATATATATGTGTGTGTGTGTGTGTGTGTGTGTGTGTGAGTGTGTGTGTTATATAACACACATATATATATGTGTGTGTGTGTGCATAACACATACTAATATATATTAGTATGTGTTATACACACACACACACATTGTATTAGTATGTGTTATAACACATACTAATACACAGTTATAAAATATAACTTATATGTTTTTTAAGATCATTGAGAACTCTTTTTGTAAATATATATATATATATATATATATATATATATATATATATATATATATATATATATATATATATATATATATATATATAAATATATATATATATAAATATATAAATATATATATATATATAAATATATATATATATATATATATATATATAAATATATATATATAAATATATATATATAAATATATATATATATATATATATAAATATATATATATATATATAAATATATATATATATATATATATATATATATATATATATATATATATATATATATATAAATCTTATATATGAGATAATAATTACTATACAAAACATATTAAGTTTATATATATATATATGTATATATATATATATATATATATATATATATATATATATATATATATATATATATATATATATATATATATATATATATATATATTGACCTGTCTAGATTTTATGTAACCTGATATTTGCTGACTATGACGTTGTTGCTTTTTGCAGTATCGGGACAAACTTTTTTCAGGGATATTAAAGTCTTTGGCTGTTTTTCGTATAGATTTTCCTTCTAATAAAACAGCATCAACAGCATTTTTTATAACATTTTGAGGAGTTATAGCCCTCTTTTTTTTTCTTTTATAGTTTCGCATGTAATATATGTGATCTATCTAATCGATTTTTAAAAAAAGAAATCAAAATTTATAGAAAAAGTTAAAATTTATGTCCAATCGCAACCGGGTTTAGTTGATATATACGGCCAACTTGCCCCGCCAAAATTTTGCCAACTAACCCCGAAAGCTATTTGGTCACAAACTCCCCTACCGATCCCTGAAAAACGTATATAAATAAAAAATAATGGTTGGACAGATTTTACTGAACCATGCAAGATATAACTCCAATCAAGTTTACTTGTACTTGATGAAATTGCTTTTAAAAATCGAAAAAATAAAGAAGTTGTAAAAGTTACAAAAATGTGGAAAAAACACATAAATCACAATATCTTTTATGCGCATGCGCAAATCCCCACAAAACTACAGTGAAAGATGAAATGGTCAACTAAGAAGGTTTCCTGAAATTATTGGCACTTTTTGATGAAAGACTTTGCAGATAAACGCAATTCGTCAACTTACCCCTGCTGCCAACTAGCCCCGGTCTCCCCTACAATACCTAAATTTATACAAAGTAGTTAAGTTATAAAATGGGGCAAAAGTTGGAGGGGGTTCTAAGAGGTCATTATTAAAAAGATATTTCAATTTTCATTTGTAGGAAATTTATTAAATTATTTTCAGCCTTCATAATAGGGGAATCTAAAATAAAGGAAACTTTGAAAAGTAAACATATTTAAAAAACTATGTTATTTTGGGGGTTTTTATCTCCTTATCTTCACCCCCTCCTCCTTCAATCATTCCTTCTCTACAAAAAATAGAAAAGATAGCATTCTTTTTTAATTTTTATATATATATTTATAAATTAATAAATGATACTAGTAAAGGTTAACATATAAAAATATTTTATAATCTGAACGTAAGTTTTTTACATTTCATTACACAACTACAGTATAGTTACTGCAAACCAGATAGTCCAGCAGTACTAAATTAACGTACTACTAATATGCAAACCAGATTGTCCGGCAGTACTAAATTAACGTACTACTGAAATAACGTACTACTGATATCTTATGTTATGTTCTTATGTTTGAAATAACGTACTACTGATATCTTATGTTAGCTAAAATTCGTTATTATGTCAATCTTGAAACTCTTATCAATATATACCATGCCATTTTTGGATCACATCTTAGGTATGCATGTCAAGTTTGGGGACAAATCCGCACCCAAGAAATTTTAAGATTATCCAACTTACAAAACAAAGCATTAAAAATAATATATTTTCAGCATTATCAATCTAACTCCAATCATCTTTATTTTTTATCCAAAATACTCAAAATTGATGATCTAGTTCAACTATTAAATTGCCATTTTGTCTTTAATTATAAACAAAAATGTCTACCCAGCACATTTACAAATTTTTTTACTGTTAGAGAAAGCTATCGCTATCATTTACGATCTGCTAATAGCTATAATCTTTATGTACCAAATCATTCTTCTGTAAAATATGGTCTAAAATCCATAAAATACCAAAGTGTAAAATCATGGAACAGTCTACCTTCACCATTAAAATCAATTGACTCAATTACTAATTTCAAAAACTGTCTTTTTAACTATTTTTTAGCAAGATATTATACCTGAAGCCTCTGAAATATGTTGTTATGCTTCTATTATTACTACTCTCTTGATACCTACTAGTTTTATTATTAACTTTTTGTTCTCATATTTTTATTGTTATTATTAGTATTGATATTAATAATATTCTTCTATCTTTACTAGTAAATTGTTATTTTTATTTATAATATAATAAGTATTATTATTGCTTTTTTTAATTTTTACTTAAGTTTATTTACTACTTATACTATGTAATTGTTTTTATCACTATTATTGCTATTATCTAATATTGATTGTATATTATCTTTATTATTATTGTTAGTATTATTACTAATAATATTCCTCTTCATCGTCAACTTATTATTATATAGTTAATATTATTTCTATAATTATTATCAACACTATTATTATTGTTATTATGATCACTTTTATTATAATGTTGCAGGTTTTTACTTTAGATTAGTACTTGTACTATTTGTAAAAGTCCTTAAGATTTTACAACTTATTTCAGAATATATATATTGAACTGAATATTGAATTGAATTGAATTGAATTATGCAAACCAGATTGTCCGGCAGTGCTAAATTAATGCACTAATGATATGTAAACCAGATTGTTCGGCAGTACTAAATTGACGTACTACTATTATGCAAACTAGATTGTCCGGCAGTAGTAAATTAACGTACTAATATGCAAACTTGATTATCCGACAGTACTAAATTAACGTACTAATATTCCTATTTTTTTGTCTTTGTTGTCTGCTTCTTTGTTTTGACAATTACAATCTACTGTGGCATGTGTAAATGACTTTTTTCTGAAAACAATGATAAAAATAATACTGAATAACAACCCAAAAATATCTTGTTTGATGATTATATTTTCTAAAGCAGTTTTTCATGCTGATTACAAATCTGAAAACCGTTTTTCTCTATCACGTCAGGTTTTTAAGATATTAAACATACATTTTTTAATCCCTTATTGTTACGAATGAATAAGAAAATAGAGTTTAGTTTACTAAGTTAATAACAGATAGCAACACTAAACATATTCTTTTGATATTTTAAATTGATATATTCTGTTCTGAAAATAGGTCTTTAATGTACTTAATTTGTAACTGTATGTTTATTAATGAGTTGTGTGTTTATTATGAGTTATGCCCCCACTTCATATAAAGCTGGGGCTCATGAAAAACTTCGTGAAGGCATTAGACAAAAACTCAGATGCTTTTCGGTACCTATGCAACAAGTTTCCAGAGTTGAGTTATGCGAAAGTGAAAGAAGGTGTATTCATAGGTCCACAAATAAGGAAGATCATAGCAGACAGTCACTTCGAAGATTTACTCAGCAGAACTGAAAAAAAAGCATGGTTGGCATTTAAGTCTGTTGTAGCCAATTTCCTTGGAAATAATAAATCTCCTGACTATGTAAATATTGTGCAGAAGTGCATTAGTGCGTACAAGTTAATGGGTTGTAACATGTCCCTCAAGATTCATCTCCTCGACTCACATCTCGACTTCTTTCCAGAAAACCTAGGTTCTGTTAGTGATGAACATGGTGAACGTTTTCATCAGGACATCTCGGTGATGGAGTCATGCTATCAAGGCCGATGGAGTGCAGCAATGTTAGCCGACTATTGCTGGATGCTTCAGCGCAACATGCCAAATTGTCAGCACAAACGCAAGTCTACAGCCAAGAAATTCAAGCCAAACTAACTTTTAATTTAAGGAACTTTACGTTATACCTATGTATTTTACAAGTGTATTATATTTTAAACTATGTGTATTTATGTTAAGTAGTACTCTATTCAGCGATATATGCTCTACTGTAACTTGCCTGCGAGTTGTTTGCTTTGATACAATATTAAACATATATAAATGGTCAATGCCAAATAACTCAACAACGGTGGGTGATAGAGACAAACGGTTTCTATATTTGTAATCAGCGTGTCTTACTTGTCTTAAAACAAGTGTTGGTTTCCAAGATATTTTCCGAAATTTTTTTTTTGTTATTCAGTGTAATTAATCATAGTAAATTTTAAATAGCTCTGAATTCTGGATATCAGGTTGTCTATCTGAACTCTGGATATCAGGCTGTCTATCTAAATTCTGGATATCAGGTTGTCTATCTGAATTCTGGATATCAGGTTGTCTATCTAAATTCTGGATATCAGGTTGTCTATCTAAATTCTGGATATCAGGTTGTCTATCTGAATTCTAGATATCAGGTTGTCTATCTGAATTCTGGATATCAGGTTGTCTATTTCTGCTTGGACTTGGATTCTTGGAATTATGTTTTTTAATGGAGCTTTTAGTTACAGGAGTTAATCTTAAGTCCTATTTATTTGTCATGAAATATCCTAGAATCCTAATATATGATTTTCCATTTGTGGATACCATCGTCAATTACTTCTTATTACCAAACAGGCAGGTTGTATATTTTTTGGTAGGTTGACTATGAAACTAATATTAAGCGCAAAACAACCTATTATTACTTACATTAGGTTACTAATAATTAATATTAGTTACGATAAAACAGATCAGTGTTATAACTATTAGTCAGATGTTATAGTCGGCACATAGTGGCTACGTTCCTTTGCAATTGGGTAAAAGTAAAATAAAAAGATGCCCTATCAATATAGCTAGGTTGACAGCAGCCAACCAAAAAGCTAGTTTTAGTTTCTTATTGTGGTGTACCCTTTTCAAATACTTTATAAAAACTTAATGAGTTTTAAAAGTGTTCGAAAGATATTTTTTATTATTTTCACAATTTTTACAGAACATTTATAAAATTTGTTGTATGATTATAATTTCTAATTAAATTAAAGAAAAAACTTTGCCGATCTGTACGGGTCAGTAATTGTTAGGATCAACTTGTAAATATATAATTACTCATAAAATAAGTAATAATTAAATAGTAAATAAGTATTACATTGGAAAATAAAGTAATTTATTTTTAAATCTTTTTAAAAGCTGGTCTATGTGAAAACACGAGAGCTTGCGACGTGAATGGAAATTGTATAGAGTATCCTGACAAGTTTTCGTTTGCCTGCAATTGTAAGTTAGGTTTCTATGGAGACGGTTTTGTCGGAAATTGTATAAAAATTAAAGACAGCGCACTAAGTATGATTTTTTTTTTCAACCGAAAATTCTTTCTGTTATATGTAGGTCTTTAAAAATGTTATACTTTGATGCTATTTCTGTTTCAGGTTTTACCCTTCAACTGATATTTGGTTGCATATTTTCTTTATTTGTGGCAGAGGTTTTAACAATATTTGTTTTTGTAAAAATTATTCGTAGTAATTTTTTTTGATGATAAAGTTTTTATGAATTAATTTAAAATAAATTATATTATTGTAAGTTTAAAAATGTAATTTGTTTTTGTTCTAATTTTTTCCAGTTAATTTATATTACTGTATATATATATATATATATATATATATATATATATATATATATATATATATATATATATATATATATATATATATATATATATATATATATATATATATATATATATATATAATATTTTAAAATATATAAAATAATATATATAAAATTTTTTGAAAAGTTACCCACCCTATATATATAATATATATAGGGTGGGTAACTTTACAAGAATTTTTGAATTTAGGTTCAGGTAGCCTTTTTTCTAATGTCTTTGACCGTATGGTACTGAGAACTGATTTTGTTAATTTTTACATGTTTAGACATGTAATTTTGAGTTTAAAAATATTAGTTTAATCATAAATACATAGTTTACTTGTGGTTTCGCGATTTGCGATACTCCAATCAAAGAAAATTTCTATGAAATCAAAACAATTAGATAAAATAAAAAATTAAATCCTTAACTCAAGTTACTCTATGACATATTAGAATTAGACCATAAACTACGACATTACGTTTTATAAAGTCTTTAAAATAATTGTTTACGCGTAAAGGTGAGTTTCCACTCATCCGCTTTTCTACGGGAATGGGGTAGGAAAGGGAAAAATAATCACGTGAGCATGCGTAGTTTTACTTCGGACATATTAAAATGACATGAATGTAGAATTTCTTAAGTTCTACATTCATGTCATTTAATAAGTTATTGATTTTATTTCGGGATAAAAAAAGATAAGTATCGTCAGTATATATTATTGTCATTAAATTAGAAGTTTTATAGAGTTCATTAATAAAAATTAGAAATAACAGTGGTCCAAGTATGGAACCCTGGAGGACTCCACAGGATATATCTAAAGCAGTTGTTGTTAAGTGTGTATCAATATGCATGAATTGTTTACGATTATTTAAGTAACTTTCTAATAACATTAAGACTTTACCAGTATAAAACTTTACCGTATATTTGGTATACTGAATTTTAGTATACCAGTAAGTATACCTATATACTTTTATTTATGAAATATTTCTGGACTAACTTGATAATTTAATAATTATATTTTCTTTATGTATTAAATAGCTATACTATATTTATTGTATTATCATAATTAAAGTCTTTTTACCAATCCTTTTATTATCTCGTCGTCTCTATCTGTATGTTTGTATGTGAGCATGAAATTTTGCAATCAATTTTTAAGTCACTTCCTGATTAAAGATTTTCTTCAAGTTCTGCATACATATTCCTGCTTGATGACAATACATTATTCAATAATTAGTTTTGTAATAAGTCAATTAAATTAGTTAATTTTAATAAAGTTTATTTTTTATATAAAAAAAAGAAAATAATTTTTAAAATAAGTACAGTTTCGGACAAAACAAGTGCAACCAAATAATGCTAATTTAGTTTCTTTATATAAAAGTGCTGCATTTTTTCTATTTAGAGAAATAACAATATAATTGTTTAGAGACAACGTTCTTCAAGTTTTATCACAAAGTTCATTATTTGTACACGAAAACTAATAAATTAATCAAAAGTATTAGAAAAAGTCGATTTCCTTCTGAAAAAAACAAGTGCAACTCCACATAATGTTGACCAAGCTGTATTATGCGGTAGTGGTGTAGTGGTAAAACACTCGCTTCATAAACGAGAGACTCCGAGTTCGATCCCTACCACGTCCCTGGTAGTACCGCGCTCAACTTGTTTCTACGCGGAGCGGCCTTTTTCGTCAAGGTTCGTGTTTCGGAGTTATAGAGTTGAGAGAGGGTTATAACCACTATTAAGTAGTCTCCTTGTCTGTAGTGGCCTTCTCGGCCTTGAGGAGGTGAATAACAAAAAAAAAAAATTCGCTATCAATATTTCGTTGCGAATCCTTTGTTGTTAATCACAGCCTTGTGATCAATAACAAAGGACTTTCACTCCGACATTCCGTTTACAAAGCCAATGCTATATCCAAATATGCTAGATGCGTGTATGAGCCTTATGACAATCAATATACAGTTTGGACAAAACATTTGCAACCAACATCGAACAATGCTAAAAATTGTTCCTAATTTTACATGTCTTAAAAACGAAACAAACTATACTACCACAGCAAACAGTTCAGGAGTCTGGAGTCATAGCATGCCATGACATGAGCAATCAGCTGACAGGTGACAGCACGCAGGCAGAATTTCGTTGACAAGTGCCATTTTGCAGCGGACAAAACAAGTGCAACTTTTTTGGTTTGTTTCATTTCCTTAAGTCTACCCCGTTTCAAAGTCACGGAAGTCTTTTAATAATTAAAGGAAGTATCCAGAAGTTTCCAGAAGCATGCAGAAGCTTCCTGAAGTTTCCAAAAGAAGCATCCCGAAGTAACCATAAACATTCAGAAGCATCAAAAACAAGCATCTATAATCTTCTAGAACAGGTTTACAAAGGTTCATTTTACTATATAAAAGACATGTAAACCGACATGTAATTCAGTCAGTATATGGAAGTCAATCAGTCAGTATTATCAAGGCAGTTTATCGAAGTGAGTTTTATCAAAGTGTTTTATCAAAGAACATCAATACAAGAAGTGAAACACAACAAGTGTTTCATTACATCAATACAATCCACATCCAACCAAGACGTTGTGTTCCACAGAGCATTATTGTATCATCACAAGGTAAATGTAACACCGTAAGCCTTGAGAAGCGTGATTATTTATTTTTATTATTTTTATGACTTCAAGTGCAAAAATGGCTCCCGACAATCTTGAATTGGAACTAAGAAAGAAAATTATTGGCAATTACGTAAGTGGAATGTCACAAAAAAGCATTTGTGATAAATATCGCGTGAAAAAATGGACCGTATCAAGACTATGTTGCAAATATCGTTCTACGGGAAAGTTGGCAGCAGATAATAAAGGTGGAAGACCGCGTTCCACCACTTCTAGAGAGGATTCTATGATCGTCGGATCCGTCAAGAAGGATCCCTGGATATCATCAGTCGAGATACAAAAACAATTAGAGCTGCCTGTATCGGACCGAACAATCAGACTACGTGCTGTTGAAGCTGGATTGTTCTCTCAACGCCCTGCAAAGAAACCGCTGATTTTACTAAAGAACCAGAAGAAAAGACCCCTGCTTGCTACATCTCATATTGACTGGAATGGGCAGAAATGACGAACTTCCTGTTCAGTCATGAATCGAAGGTCAACATCATTGGGAACGATGGCATTTGCCGTGTACGTCGACCGGCCGGCCTCGATTTACGTTACTGCCATAAGACCGTGAAGCATGGTGGAGGCAATGTATTGATCTGGGGGTGTTTTTCTGCTAACGGTTTAGGTCCAATACATCGAATCGATGGAATAATGGACCGTTTTATGTATAAAAATATCCTGAAAGATGTTATGTTACCTCATGCTGAATGGAATATGCCAATAAAATGGGTTTTTCAGCAAGACAACGGTCCGAAACACACTGCAAAAGTACTCAAGCAGTGGTTTTAAGACAACCACCTATCGGTGATGGATTGGCCGCCTTAATCTCCGGATCTCAACGCTATTGAGAACCTGTGGGAGATTGTCAACCGCAGAACTAATCGTGAAGTTGTTCGTAATAAGGATCAGTTGTTTACACAAATCCAAAACGCCTGGGCAGCAATTCCACAAAGTTTCATTGATCACCTGATCGAATCTATGCCTAGAAGATGTAAGGCTGTGATTGACAACAAAGGATTCGCCACAAAATATTGATAGTGAAATACAGCTTGGTCAACATTTTGTGGAGTTGCACTTGTTTTGTCCAGAAGGAATTCAACTTTTTTTAATACTTTTGATTAAATTATTAATTTTCGGGTACAAATAATGAACTTTGTGATGAATAAAACTTGAAGAACGTTGTCTCTAAACAGTTACATAGTTATTTCTCTAAATTGAAAAAATGCAGCACTTTTATATAAAGAAATTAAATTAGCATTGTTTGGTTGCACTTGTTTTGTCCGATACTGTATCTCTGAAAATATTTTATATATATGATTTATCGTTTTTATATTCAATTTTTATATTAGAATACATTTACAAAATCAGCAAAATCTGATAATATTAATACGCTAATCTAATAATAGTAGTTAATAGTTGACTTACGTCATTTTCTAGGCTTTTCTATTTTAAAGTAGTTTCTAGGATTTTCTATACGCGGGTTTTTATTTTAATTTTATTTACTAACAACCCGTATTACGGGTTGCTTACTGCTAGTATCTATAATATGTATATAATAATCGCGGATTAAATAAATCAATAATTTGTTTAATCCTTTATATTCCATATTTGGACTAATTATAATTGAGAATAATAACAAATTATTTGCAGTAAGTCGGAAGAGATTTCATTTCTAATTATTCGATCAATAGAAAGCCAAGTAACAAATTCAATTGATTTTGATAGCTTTAACAACGATTTAAGGACAAAAAGCGAAAAAAATTATCTTATTTGAAAGAGCATTTTTATTTAAAATTTACTCGCCTCGTTTTTAATTCAGCAAAATCGTTAATTAAATCGTCATAATTTAACGAATCACATATTTCGTTTTCAATCGACATCATAGCTAGACCTACTAATCGCTCTCGATCTTAAATAGTTTTTTATTATTTTTAATTTCGAGAAACTGCGTTCCCCAGAAGTAACTGATACAGGTAAAGTTAACAGAATACGTAGACAGATGAACAAATTTGGAAATATTGTTGTTATATTATTTTCGTGCAAATAGTTCAGTATTTCTAGTGGTTCCATTTGAGAGGGTAACACTGCAAATAAATTTATAATTTCTTCACAAAGTTCTAAACCGTCAATATGTCTTTTATCATTATCTGTTAATAATAAATGTAAGTCCATGTAATTTTTTAATATATTTGTTCTACTTTCGGATTTTAGTTTATAAATATTGTATAATATTTGAAATTTTGCTGCATGTAATTTTAACTGTTCAAATCTTTCATCGATTGATTGCGGTGTCCAGAATTGCGGTGTCCAGAATGTAGAAAAAGAAGTTGACTTTATAATTTTATTGTGAATCTATAATAGGCAGGTCATTGGATTCGTAATCAAAATGGCCTTTCATTTTACGAATTTGAATCGTTGAAACATCTGGGAATTTACTATCAATCATAAGAACTTCGGCTATTTTCTTTGCTTCATCGACGACTTTTACAAAGGTTTCATCCTGACGGTAATTGTTTAAAAAAACCAAAACTTCTTTCAAAGCATTATTGCAATTTAATAAATTTATATTTGGAGACTGCATTATTTTTGATACAATATTTAATTTTGATAAAATGTTGTACCACACAATCAGGCTACAAATAAATTTAAAACAAGAAACTTTTTTTGCTAATGACTGGGCTTCATGTTTCGTTTGATTGTCCCAATTTTCATCTAAATGGATATTGATTGCAGCATCATAAATATGTTCAAGTTGAAATCTCAAAGGAATAATAGCAGAAAATCTACTTTCCCATTTAGTAGAACAAACTGGTTTTAAGGTAATTTTCACATGCTGCTTTAAAATGTCCCACCGAGTAGGAGATGACGAAAAAAATACATAAATTTGCTGAATAATAATAAAAAAGCTAGCTACTTCACCTAAAGCAGAAGCTGCATTGTTATCAACTAAATTGGGGAATGACATGCGCAAAGAACAAAAACTGAACGTGGATTTAATCGTAATATTCTGCTTTGAACACCCAATCTTTTTCTTTTCATGTTCGCACCATTATCGTGCCATTATCGTGGCCTCTCATATCTTCAATAGGAATTTGATTATCTTCTAGTTCTTTAAGAATTTTTTCAGTTGGGCCTTTACCAGAAGTATTCACTACGGGAATGAATCCTAAAAAATGCTCGCGAATTTCGAACCTGTTTTTGTCCTAGAATACAAATCTTATAATAATGGACATTTGTTCAACATAACTCTGATCTGGGGTGCAATTTACTATCATTGAATAGTATTTACTAATTTTAATTTGTTAAACAATATACTCTTTAATATTTTTTGAACTTAACTGTATGTGCTTATTCTGAATATTGTTACTCAAATAATGTACTTTGGTTTGCCTTTTTGTAATAGTTTGTATATGATTTGCAGACGTTTGATCAAATGTAGCCAGTAATTCAAATAATTTTAAAAAACTGCCGTTATTTCTATCATACATTTTATCACTTGTACCTCGTATTGCTAATGATTGTGAAGCTAAAATTTTTAATATTGCAATTATTCTTTTAAGAATCTCTTGCCACTTATTTTTTTTCAATATTAAGGACGCGTTGTTGAGCAGCATCTATGGTGTTTAATGTTTTTAAGCGTAACCTTAACTCATTCCACATAAAAATACAATCAAAATGAATTCCCGATGATTCATGGCTTTAAAGATCCTGTGATAAATGTGCCCAATCAGAACTACCATAGACAGCCCAGTTATTGCGATTTTTAGAAAATAATTTACGACTAAAACAAAATACCGAATCTTGAGATTGTGAATAAATTAACCAGGATCGCACAACATGTTCTCCGTTTGGCAATTTTCGATTGTATAAAGAAGGTGAAAATTGTCTACCTTTGTTGTTTACAGGAAAGGTAAAATTGTGTAATTGCAGTGGACCTTTTTTTACCAAAAATTGTCTCATGTTGTCCGTGATAAACCTCCATTCACCGGGATCTGATGACACTTTTTACGCCGGGTCCTCTTCATTCACTGTCAATAGTGGAACTTTGAGATCTTTTGATGTTTCACAAATGGTACGCTCGCTTCCATCTACAGTAGATATAAATAGTTCTGTAGGATCTTTGACAAGATCTGAAATAGCAGCTTCCCGACTCTCTTCTAAATTAGATGTTGAGGCTTTGGAATATTCATCAAATTTTGACGATTTATCCATATTGCATTCGTTTATACTGTTGATTGTACTTTGATTGAAACACATTTTTTTTAATTGTTGGTTCAACAATATTGCTTGTAGTTTGGCTTATATTTAATGAGCACGATTGTTGAACAAATGACATTATAGAATTTGCTTGCTTCTTACGTTCATTTTCTTTTGTTTCTCTTTGTTTTTTATTTTCATAACCAGACTTTTTCTTTTTAATTCCGAACATGATTTTTAATTATTATGATTTAATTAAATTTGTTAAAACCGAATATAAACTACAAATACAATTGTAGGTATACTGTTATAACTAGGGCTGCTAGCTCGAACATGTTCAAGTTCGAACGTTCGAACTTTACGCCAAATTTCAACGTTCAGTTTCGAACTTTTTTCGCTAATTACACAAACAACAATAAAGATAAATTTCTAATAGGCGCCTTTTTGTTATGAAAATATCATTTTTCATTACACTACACTTTTTTATCCGTAAAAAAAAAAAAAGGAAAAAACATAAAGAGTTGCTTACATATCAGAAAAATAATATTCTTAGACGTAATGAACAAACGTGAAATGTTTGAAAGGCGCCTTCGTGGCTCAGGCGCCTGGAGCGGTTGCTTCATTGCTCCATGCCACGGTACGGCCCTGCTTATATCAAATATCATAATAAAAGCAGAAACAAATACATCTAATAAAAAAAAAAAATTTTATGAGTAAACCGTAAAAACTTTTTTATAAACGATAATACGATTTCGCCGAAAAAAAAGTTTTGTTTACGGTATACTTTAGAGTATACTTTATGGTACTCTATACGGTAAACTGTATACTAAATTTTTAGTATACCGTAAACTAGCGATCCCAATTAGAGCGTGGTTAATCGTCTTTCGGTTACCAGGTTAATGGGCTATTTTTGATAAACTAAAGCCTACATTTAAAAGTACTGATTTTTGTAATAAAAGTTGTAACATTTATTTACTAGAACACGTCGACATTTTTGTCAAGTTCATATATAACATATATTCCACTATCATATAAAATCTGACCGGAAATTTCTCTGAATAAAATCAAATAATTGAATTAAAGTTGTACACAGTAGGTTAAAATATAAAGTTTGGTATTGTGGTTTATCCTCCTCCGGCTAATTGCCATATAGAGGCCACATTACCAAGGCCCGCAAAGACAGGTTCGGCTCCCCAAGGAGCGTCATAACCCGCTCTACGGACCAAGAGTAAAGTGAGTTTAGGAAAAACGAAGATATGTTAGAGTGAAAGACAGAAGTAGTCGCGTTAGAAAGATAGCATAGAGAAAGCAGACAGGATTGCACTCGATGTTAGGAGGTGCAAAAGGTTTTTTTATAGTTGTTTTATTAACATATGACATATAAAGTTGTACACAGTAGGTTAAAATATATCAAAAACAAAAATAAAAAACATCTACATATAGTCATATCATATATCTTATCCTGTGTTTTTGAGGTCAGAGAATCCATTTTTAACATCGCAATTGTGTTTTTGAGGTCAGAGAAACCATTTTTAACATCGCAATTGTGTTTTTGAGGTCAGAGAATCCATTTTTAACATTGCAATTGTGTTTTTGAGGTCAGAGAATCCATTTTTAACATCGCAATTGTGTTTTTGAGGTCAGAGAATCCATTTTTTACATCGCAATTGTGTTTTTGAGGTCAGAGAATCCATTTTTAACATTGTAATTGTGTTTTTGAGGTCAGAGAATCCATTTTTAACATCGCAATTGTGTTTTTGAGGTCAGAGAATCCATTTTTTACATCGCAATTGTGTTTTTGAGGTCAGAGAATCCATTTTTAACATCGCAATTGTGTTTTTGAGGTCAGAGAATCCATTTTTAACATCGCAATTGTGTTTTTGAGGTCAGAGAATCCATTTTTAACACCGTAATTGTGTTTTTGAGGTCAGAGAATCTATTTTTAACATCACAATTGTGTTTTGACCTATATGAAAGGACCGCTTGACAATGGCAAAATTTAGATTTTTTGGTGTTGCAAATTTGAAATTTTCCGACGATGTGCAAACTTCAAACTTTAGTAAGCATACTATTATGTCAAATAATGTTTTACAAAAAAATTGCAGTGATTGAAACCTGAGAACAAAAATAACTCGAAGAGTTGGCCCCTCTACCTCGAATGTGAAGGCAATAGGCTTTTAAAATTACTTATTTTAATATCTCAAATTAAATTTAAATTTATAAAAAGATTTTAATTTCCATTTAAAAAATTTTTAGATTTCAAAGGTTATGATTATGTAAAGTTCCCATCCACTCCAAAATGAGGGAATTGTATTTTAAAGATTGTTCCATAAAATTAAACACCTCCAAATAAAGTTAAACTTAGTATAAAATAAAGTAAAAAATAATTCATTAACTCATTACCTTCACCTTTGGGGTTAGGGTGCTAAATTTTGGGGTTATTTAGTTCCCAGACTCTAATCACCGCAATTTTTTTGCAAAACATTATTTGAAATAAGTATTAACATACTATTTTTTAAAAGTTTACACAAAGACTGAGAGTAAAACTTTAACACCGAAAAATCCATATTGCGCTACTGTATAGCGCGCAGATCTCGACAGCAACAATTGAAAAAACAGTTTAAATTTCAGTTAATAATCTTCTAAATTTCAAAAGTTATGACCATGTAAAGTATATATAAATCAGGATTTAACATTTGCACAACGTGAAAGCAGAAAGTTGCTTCTAAAAGAAAGAGATCGTTTAAATAATGCTGATAATGACCAGCCCTTTTGGTATATTGTCAAAAATGAGTCATTTGTCAAAGTCAAGAAAAGTGAAAAAACTAAAAATTAATTCATTATCTAGTGTAAATAAAAACAAATCTGACATTATTTTTCCATTCAATAAAAAGTCTAACTATCTTAAGTTTTGGAATACAAATTCTACGTCTTTGGTAAATAAAATAACAGAGTTTGAAACAAAAATTATGATCGACTCACCAGATATCATACTTATTTCTGAAACATGGTTCAAAGATGACTTAATTATAAATATTAGCAACTACAACTGCTTTTACAATAATAGAACAAACAAACAAGGTGGAGGTGTTGCAATTTTTACAAAATATGATATAATTGCTTATAAAGTATCAGTTTCACCTTTATATAAAGAAGTTGAACAAATATGGTGTAGCATTGTACTTCATAAAACAAAAATATTAGTTGGATGTATATACAGACCACCAAACAGTACTGACCTAATAAATAATGCAATTAATGAATTAATAAAAAATGCAAAAAAGGAAGTAATAAATGGAAAATACTCAAATGTAATAATTGTTGGTGATTTTAATTACCCAAATATTATTTGGAATGAAGACGGAACTATCGAGCTAAAGCAAAACTGCCAAACAAGCAGAGCATTTATTAATAACTTGCAAAACAATTATTTACATCAAGTAGTTAACAAGCCAACTTTTCAAATGGCTGTTGATAAACCAGCAAATATATATTAGATTTAATAATATGTGACGATCTAGATTTAGTAATTAACATTGAATATGATGCTCCACTTGGTCAAATTACTAAAAGCCATTACATATTAAAATGGGAAATTAACATACTCAATTCATATGAGAAAAAATTCAACAATAAGAGATTTAATTTTCGAAACGGAAAGTATAAAGAAATGAATCTTATGTTTTATAAAGTAAATTGGGTTGAAATCTTTGACAAAATGAGTACAAATCAATGTTACGAATACTTTTTAAAAATTTATGAAAAAGC